CTTTCACAGTGCCAGAGTTGCTATCCAGGGCAATTAGGTAGGGAAAAAAAAAAAAAAAAAAGTATTGGGATTGTAAAGGAAGTACTAACTTACAGGCAGATAACATGGTCATCTATGTCAAGACTTCAAAGAAGGTACTCTCCCACGGATACCCCACTAGAGAAAACAAATAAGCCTGCAAAGCTGTAGGCCACAGAGAGGAGGTGCTGCCCTGTTTCCAAGTGCTAGTGATAAACAATCCAAATACATATTTGAGAAAACAATTTTTAAAAATATTTTTTGGGCTGGGGATGTGGCTCAAGCGGTAGCGCACTCGCCTGGCATGCGTGCGGCCCGGGTTCGATCCTCAGCACCACATACAAAGATGTTGTGTCCGCCGAATACTAAAAAATAAATATTAAAAAAAAAATTCTCTCTCTCTAATTTTTTTTTTTTTAGTTGTAGATGGACACAATACCTTTATTTTATTTAATTTTTATGTGGTGCTGAGGATCAAACCCAGTGCCTCACAAGTGCTAGGCAGGTGCTCTACCACTGTGCCACAACCCCAGCCCTGAAAAAATAATTTGTTACAATAGCAAAGGAATAAAGTACTTAGGAGTAAATTTCATAAAAGAAATGCAGACCTCACCACTTGCAAACTGCAAACTACTGTTGAAAAAACTTAGAGACCAAAATAAATGGGGAGACATTCCAGGTTCAGAAGCCATGAGATGTGACACTGTTAAGAGGTCAACACTCCCCAAAATGACTTACAGATTCAAAGCCATCCCTGTCAAAATCACAGCTGCTTTCCTTGCAAAAACTGACAAACTGATTCTAAAATTCATATGAAATCCCAGGAGATCCAGAATAGCAAACAATACAAAAAGAGGAGAACAAATCAGGAGAATTCATGCTTCTTGATTTTACGACCTACTGGAAAGAAATGGCAGTGGAGACATGGACAGATGTGAGGTGAACCCTCACAGCTGCGGCCAACAGACTTTTTGACAAGAGTGCCAAGATCACTCAAATGGTCTGGAACAGATGGATCTCCACATGCAAGAGAATGTATCTGGACCCTGACCTCATACCACATAGAAAAAGAAACTAATGTTAAGAGCTAACACTCTAGAGCTTTCAGAGGGGGTTGCTCCATGACAGAGCACTTATTAGCATATAGTCCTAGGTTAACACTCAGTGCCAAAAACAAAATAAAAACCTTTTAGAGGAAGACACAGGTAAATCTTCATGACCCAGGATTTAGCACAAGATGTCAAAATTACTAGCAACAAGAGAAAAAAAAAGACACATTGAATTTTTCCAAAAGTAAAAACCTTCCCAGGAGTGGTGGGGCACACCTGTAATCTCAGCTACTCAGGAAGCTGAGGCAGGAATATTGCAAGTTTGAGGGCAACTTTGTGAGACTGTTTCACAAAATAAAAAATAAAAAGGGCTAGAGATGTAGCTCAGTGTTAGAGCACCCCTGGTTTCAATCCCTACTACTACAAAAGAGAGAGAGAGAAAAAGAAATTAAAAACTTCTGTGCTTCTAAAGAAAACACCAAGAGTGAAAACAATCCAGAGAATGGGAGAAAATGCTGGCAGATCACATATCTGACCAGAGATTTGCACCTGATTATCCAAAGAACTCTCATAAGCCACAATAAAGGAAAGACATAGAGCCCAATTAACCATTTGAGGAAGGCACTGTACTTCACCCCTTAAGTGATCTTGGCACTCTTGTCAAAAAGTCTGTTGACCGCAGCTGTGAGGGTTCACCTCACATCTGTCCATGTCTCCACTGCCATTTCTTTTTAGTAGACATTTGTCCAAAGACATAGAAAACAGAAATAGTCAAAAAACATATGAGAAGGTACCTGAGGTCATAGCTATCAAAGTCACCAGAGAAACCACTCCACACCCCGAAACTGCACAGTCACAGCTCTGAGAGCACAGGCTGTGGGGGTGTGGAGAAGTCAGGTCCTCCTAGGCTGGCAGCTGACATGGAAATGGTCCAGCCACTGTGGGAATGGGCCAGATAGTCTTTCAATCACACAGGTACCAAGTGATCCAGCCATTCCACCATAGGCGTAGAGAGTGTGAACAGCACATCCACACAAACCCATGTGTGGAGGTTCACAGCAGCAGACTGATAACAGCTATCAGTCAGGGAGAGCCTGGATGTCCACCACAGGACAAATGGAACATAAAAGCCCCCTGAGTCCATATGATGAGCAACATGTAGTCATGAAAATGGACAAAGTACTGACAGGTGCTCCAGAGTGAATGACCTTGAACACATGCTCAACGAAGCCAGGCACCCAAGGCCACAGCCTGTGTGACTTCATTCCTGAGACACCTGAATAGTGTGTGGAGGAGGAAGGAAGATTAGGTGCTGCTGGGGAGGGGCTTGGGGCCAGCATGGTGGAGGGCAGACTCCGCAGCTGAAGGGCTGCATTTTCTTTCTGAGCTGATGAAAATGTTGCCAAGTAGACTGTGCTGGTGGCACCCACACCTGAAACACACCACTCCCCCCAAGTTTGGCTTCCAAGGGTGAGTGACAGGAGATGTGGCTACCATGTTACTGAAGCACTGAGCAAGGAACAAATGAAAGCCTTAGAAATATTAGTTATGTAAAAAGAATAGAGCCTGTTTCCCTAGAAAAAGTGAGCTCTGCTTCTCACGACTCCACTGGCCAGCAGTGTGCAGGGCATGAAGTGTCCAGCAGGAAATACAGAAGGACCCTGGGAGCCTCAGGGGTACTGTGTGGGGAATGTGCCGGGGCAGAACCTCCTCCCACTTTGCAGAAAAAAGCTAAGTGAACGATAGAATCTTTCCCCTCTTTTTCTGCAGTGTTGGGAATAAAACCCAGGGCCATGCTGGGCAAGTGTTCTACCCCAACAAGAATGGACTCTATTTAAAAGCTCCCTTCCATAGATGTTTTGTCAACCTTTGGGTCATTTCCTGCATATCTGTTGGGCAAGAGTTAATAGACCACAAACAAACCAGTGGCAACAATCACAATGGCAGTTGGAGGCGCAGCCCACCAGATCATCTGCATAATGGCTTGTGAGCATGGCTGTGGTTTTGCACAGGGTTCTGCAACAGGAAGCCAAGTTGCATGTCAAAGAGTGGGTAGAGAGCACTGGATTGCAGCATGAGGCCCAAGCCAGGGAGGGGGCACCAAGGACCCAATCCTGGTCAGCACAGGCCTTGGAACTGGCAGGCACTTAGGGCCTGGAGCTGGCCATGTCAGCAAGCATCTGTGAACCCAAGCATGTTTCCCAAGAAGAGATTACTCACATGGCAGGCAGAGCTCACAGCTTCGATGACACACTTCTCAAAGCTCTTGGCCACACTGTCCTTGAGGCCAGCGGCATCCCAGTGAGGGCTACAGAAGGCAGAGATCTGGGAAAGGGGCCTCTCCTGCAAACACAGAGGTGGGTGGGGGTGTAAGTGCCTGGTTGTTCTGACTCCCCTCCTCCCTGTCCTACACTAAGCATGTCCTCCCTGCCCCTCACTAGAAGATTAAAGATGAAACCAAGTTAGTCTCTTCTCAAATTGCAAAAAAAAGCAGCCAGAATAGCAGCTTGTAAAAACATGCAAATTTTGAAAAAGAGCTATTTTTCCTTTCTTTTGTCTTCCTAAAAACATCCATTTAATCAGATCCATATAAAATACTCATGGAGAAACCAACTTTTCTGGGTCACAGACCTTCATTCAAAATGAAGGGCATTTTTTGTTTGTTTATTTCCTCCATGTCACTGTGTTTAACAAGGCTCCTGCCACCAGCAGGTCCCTTGGGGCACCTATACATGGAGGGCTTGATGACACGTATGTCTAGGGCCCCAGTAAGAGCACAATCCCATTCCCTGACTCTTTTCAAGAAAGTCACACTAGAACTCTGAAATGCTTCTGAGGTCAAAGTGCAAAGCCCTGATCAGAAACAAAAATGCAAAGCTTGGGTGGATCCCAGGGCCTGTACATGCTGTGCTCTGCTTGTAGCCCCAGGTGCTGCCAGCAGTCTGGGCTCATCACTATGTTGATGGTGTCCTCCATGTCTGGTACCTTCTTGAGCCTCCCTTCCATGTCCCCCAGCAGCGACTCCTTCCAGCCATACTCTGCAGGAAAGTTTATTTCCACCAGCCGCCGCCAGACCTGCAAAATCCACATGTTAAGTGACAGCCATAGGGACAAGTAAACACCACAGAGATATCCTACAGAAAAGACAGCAAAAACAAGGCATGGGGGCACCTGTGGTCCCAGTTGCTCAGGAGGCTGAGGCAGGGGGATCTTGAGTCCAAAGCCAGCCTCAGCAACTTAGTGAGGCCCTAAGCAATTCAGTATGACTGTCTCTAAATAAAAAATAAAGAAAAGGGCTGGGGATGTGGCTCAGTGGTTGAGTGCCCCTGGGTCAAATTCCGAGTACAGAAAAAAAAAAAAAAAGAAGCACTTTGCTAAAGCACTTGAAGGCAGCATCCTAACACACCTCCAAGCCCAGGTAGGCATCCTATCCACACACCATGTCTGCTGAGGACAGGCAGCATTAGGAGAACAGGAGCCTGGAGCAGGTGCCCCTAGCCACATGCCTCCATATGTCCACCTGATATCTAGATCCAGGGTCTACCTTGGGACACACAATGCATTTACTTGTCATGTCTCTTTTCTAGAGAAGTTCCCTGGCCTTATCTTTTCTGATACTGACAATTTTGAAAAGTTCAGGTCATTCTGCAGACTGTCTCTTAACCCAGTTGGCTCACAGTTTTCCCATGATTACAATGGTTTGGTTGGGACACTACTAAGCCAAGCCACGTAAAAATGTACTCAGTGTAGGTCAGGTGTGGCCAAACATCTGCACTTCCCACAGGTGCCCAGCCAAACACCTTGAGCCTGACCAAGCGGACCATGAAATCTGTTGGTGCCACCAGGGCTGACCAAGAGGTCGGTCCTTGGTTAAGGCTTATCTGCCAGATTTATTCACTGTGAAAGTCATCTTTCCTCATCCATAAAGCCTTCTGCAATGGGACACTGGAAATCCTGTGACCTCCTGGCACCCCCACCAAGCTCAGGATTCCTGAGTGATACCTGCCTGCATCAGCTACTATACCTTGGTTACGGAGTGACAGTTTTCTATTGCAATTATTTCTTCTACATTTCTTAACTCCATTCTTCAATAGAAGAATAGAAAAGTTCCTTTTTTCTCTTTTTTTTTCTGTAAGTATGTTTATCAATGAATTTTAATCCATTCCTATCACTTTGCCTTTTATGGGGCTGGGGTTGTGGCTCAGCGGTGGAGTGCTCGCCTAGCATGAGCAAGGCCCTGGGTTTGATCCTCACCACCACATAAAAATAAACAAATAAAATTAAGGTATTGTGTCCAACTACAACTGAAAAATAAATATTAAAAAAATAATAATCAAATTGTTCCAGATTCAGCTAATGTGAGCATCTTCAACGGTTTTCTTAAAAAAAATTGGAATAACTTTAGACTTGCAAAAATGCTGCAGAGATATCCCAGATAATTTCTATGTTCTCTTAACCCCATTTCTGCCATCATGAACATGACCACAACTCAGCTGTCAAAAGTGAAAAGCTAGCAATGACAGACCACCATGTCAACCACAGACTTCACATGGAGTCCCCCTGGCCATCTGAGGAGGAGTCTGGATCACCACATGCCTGCAGCCTCAGCATTTCCTGACGTTCCAGCACAAGGAGCTCTTGGCCCCCCTGTGCATCTCGCACTGACTCATGGAGGTGGTTCTTCTTCCAGGAACAGCATTGTGTGGTGGGAAACGGGAGTTAGAAGACATGATTGGGCCATGTGGGGTAGAACACGCCTGAAATCCCAGCTACTCAGGAAGCTGAGGCAGAAGGGTCACAAGTTCCAGGCCATCCTGGGCAACTTAGCAAGACTCTGCCTCAAAATAAAAAATAAAAAGGTCTGGGAAAGTTTATTTCCACCAGCCACCACCAGTGTAGCTCAGTGATAAAGTGCTCCTGGGTCAGTCCACAGTAGAAAGAAAGAAAGAGAGAGAGAGAGAGAGAGAGAGAGA